TTTTATGTACATTATGTATTTTATAATATGTCCATCCTTAATGAGCTGGAATCAACTGCAGAGAGCGTAGGCTACGTAGGAGGACACAATTAGCATTAGCAAAGCCAAGGAACCAAGCTATTATTTTAAAACTAAACCTATATTGGACAAAATGTTGCTGTATTTTGGTTTTGTCGGCTCTCTATGTAAATCTACATTTTAAATTTCAAACACTTTCGCCAATGTTTCCCGTTAAAACCTAATTTAATTGCGTTACTACGAGCTGTTAGAATGAAGGCTATACTCTACACACACGCACATAAATAATTTATGCAGCCATGCAGTTCAGATCACTTGACGCTCCTGCCTTATAAGGATAAACCTTATAGTTAGCCTAATAAGGCCTGATTGTCATTTGATCCGACTACTTTACCACTAACTAGTAATTATGGCCCACCTATTATCTAACAAAGCTATAACAAAGCTGATGAGCAGCGGATTGGTTGGTGTGGGGTGCAGCACGTGAGGTAGAGATAAAAGAGAGAGGCAAGTTTTACTTTCATCGAAATAATCCACTGCAACCATGAGCTTAGGATAGACTTCCTCAAAAGCAAAAAATACAACGGCATTGGTAATAAAAATACAAATAATAGACCCACACGTCTTGTTGTCAACAACTGAATAAACCGTGCAGGCCGTGTAGGACTGTGGGAATGGAAAAGGAAAATATCCCTATAGGGTTACTACCGGGGATTCTTAAATCAGGTTCTGTGTCTCCGACATAGGTTGTTCTTCTCTGACAGCTGACTTTCCATGAATCGGGAAAAGTAGGCATGTTGGGTCACCTCTCAGTATTATTACACTAGGTTTTAACTTAATTTTTGACCAGTGACCACTGACCAATCAGTGAGGTCGGTTATAGTGACACAAGTCGTCATCAAGGTACTGGAAACTGTATATTCGGAGACAACTTTGATGGAAGGAAACTTTCAGATTTCACCTTTCTGCGACCCAAATTTCACTGTTTTGACTGAATTTTTCTTGAATCACCATCTAGCAAGGTCACTAAAAATGGAACAAGACACGATCGAGATACTGAAAGTTCTATTGCCAAAGAAAGCTTTGATAAACGGAAAATCATCAGAATAGAAGAAGAAATACTGAAGATTTTTGAAGAAAAGCTTTTCTGCCGTCTCGTTGACCGAAATTTTGCGGTGGAGTTGTCACGTGCACTTTACCTTAGATCTAGCTTAGTATGTAATATGTATCTAACTCTATAATGCTAATAAAATATCATGATCACGTTCACATCTTGTAATTTTAAACTAATTACAACACTACAAATCTATTGCATTTATTGAGTATTATGTGTCTAATAATCACATGAATACTTTGTTGTAACTTTGTATGAAAAGCATTAATACAGGGCAGATGATAATGGCCTTAGCTAAAAATGGGTGGTATTGAATAACAGCTTTTGCTTTCGTTCATGTGAATCTTATTTTATAATTTTGAAACCGTATTTATCTTATCATACGTAACCTAACACCTTATCAGTTAATGTCGCTAACCTTGTAATAGCGGAACAACGTGAATCAAGTTAGTACACAATGTTCTTTTTCAATTTTATCAACAAAAATATATTCGTTTTTGTTTCTAGAAGTTGGAACTGGGATGTGATCCTTGTTTTGCCTAAAAAACTAAAACATCTGTTTAAATGAGCTTTTAAGAGCTTAAGCCGCTGAACAAGTTTTATAAATAAGTAAATAGGGCTGTTGCAAACATTCTGAGCTCAATTCGGTATTCCCTCTGGCCCGGTTGGAAACATATGGCTCATCTTCCCAGCCCTACCCAGAAGAGCTCTTTAGTTTTAAGCTTAAGGTTTACCTTTTAACTACCTTATCGGACCTTATTTGGACGGACATTACATGAACGGACATAATTGTGAACGGACATTAATATGAACGCTCGAAGGCATTCAAAACCATCAAAAATCCGAATTTTTTTCAATTTTTTGACTTTTTTTAAATTTCAGCAAATGATTTTTTAATCCATTTTTCATACAGTAAGTAAGAAAAGCAGTCATTAAGCAGTAAAAATGTTAAAATATGTGTACATGATCAGTGTCTAATATCACATATCATCTTCATTAAATGGGTTTTCGTGCATGAAATAGTCCATGCTTAAACAAGCATCAGTGATTTCTAGCTTTGTGGAAACCTTTTTTTATCAAACTACCCCGGTCCTGCATTTCATTGTTAACTTTTACAAGCCATTCGGCGTGAAGTGGTTTTATCTTAGGACTTAGACAACTTTAGGTTAACCTTAACATCACGTAGAGCTTTCCTAGCATTGTTTCATTACCTCTCCTCAGTAATATGAACTATAACAACGTCGGACAATGTCCTTGGCAACACGATTTACCGTAATATCTAGAGGCTGGAACAAGTTTGTCATGTTGGCGGGGACTAGCTCATGAACTATGTTGTTGAGTGCCATAATTTTGTTGACTTTTTTCCGCCAAGTGACACTTGAAAACATCATATACTAGTAGAGTTTTCTGTGCCTCCGGCAGACCAAGGAGAACCTTTCCGTCGTTAACTTACGGCACAATAAAGTTCTCAAAGTTGTCATATTCTGGACAAAAAGTTCGAAATAGAAAAAATTTTGAAAAAATTTCAACGGACTTTAACTTGGACGGACATTTATTGAACGGACTTTATTTGAACGGGCATTAAGATGAACGCTAGGGCCTCCAGCGTTCAAGTAATGTCCGTCCAAATAAGGTCCGATAAGGTATTGTAGCCTGATAATTTGGAAAAGGTACGAATCTAGATTCTAGAGCGATGCTGAATGAAGACGCGGACACAATCAGAAACAAAGCGATCGGAGGGATTCTGGCAGTCAGCACTCTTATCAGTATCCTTGTTAACCCTTGTATGATTTACTACTACAAGAAGTTCAGAACTTCCTGGATACACAGGTATCGTGAAGTTGTATTACTGAAGTACCAAAACGAGTCCGTTACTGTTCTCCTAGCTTGGTCATTTCATATTAAATTCCTGTTTAAAAGATTCCTGTTTAATTCCAGGTTCTACTACTACCTGTCCATCTCTCACCTGTCCTTCGCGGTGATTCGAGGAGTCCCACTAACCGGTCGCCTCCTACTTGGTGTTGATAACAAAGCTGGGAAAGCTGGAGCTTGGTACACGATACTGATAATGTGGCATGTTCTGTCTCAGATATCTGGAGCATGTGTGACCACTGTGGTTTGTGTCACACTCATGGTACAACACCTCAACATGTTCTATCCTGGCTGGACTCTGCTCAATGGGTCTGCTAGATTTTGGAGGACTGCGTTCTTTGTCATCGGACTAATCTACCTTGCCTTTTATCTACCAACCCTGGTTTTACTTACTTACTTTCTTTACATGGATACCCTTTTCCAGAAGCTCGATGACCCAGCTAATATGAATGTAGCTATCACCAGCCTGGTCTTCTACATTCCAACGATCCTGTTCACTGTGTTTTCCTCCTGCTTGTATCTAGTCACCCGATTCAAATTCTACCGTCACAGTCTGGAGGAGAGCGTGACTATGGTCTTCAGTAGGGTCACGAGGGAGTTTAGAATTGTGCGACTGTTCTTTTTATTTGGGGTAGTCTGGGTGATTGTTACTGTTACTTTTCTGATTTTAAGCTTTTTTCCTGATGAAAGTGGGTATGGTTTTGTTATCACTGTGTGTGGGCAGATTGAGCCGTTGATTCAGAGAATGATCATTTCGTGTGCCATTTTCTTTAACGAGCGTGAAATTAGGAATTACTTTCTAGCAAGATTCCGTAGGGCGGAGTTTGGAATTCAAAATTAAAATCTTTAAACCATTTTAAATAGAACCAGTTGGGATTTACTTTCTAGCTGACAACGAATAATATATGTTCTTAAGCAAATTAAAATATTGCTTTGTAAAATTTAAAAAAAGAGTTGATTTCGCATGGTTAAACGAAAATTATGATTTTAAAATGGTATTAAACGGATTAAACGGATTAAATGGATTAAACAAATTAAACGAATTAAACGAATTAAACGAATTCAAAAGTCGAATTACAATGGTAATATCTGACCTAATTTAAACCGAAATTTACCCAAAAGACAAAAAGTATATATATATACAAGAGAATGAGAAGAAATTGAAACCATTATAAATATAATAAACATAGAAAAAATCCCGCAAATCTTCAGAATGAGATTTATTTTTCAAATAATTTAAATGAACTCTTATAATGAGTGATCTGCAGCTGAGCAGTATGTGCATATCTTTGGTTAAACTCTCAAACGTTAGACCATCAAATACCCGGACAAATTTCGGTGCTCCGGATAGGGGCGGCAAATTTCAATCAGCAGGGGGGCGGCACAAAGTAACGTTACGCTACTGACCCTGTATCAAGAATTGCACCTCGATAAACCTGTATCAGACATCTGGAGTTTAACTCCGTCGTGATCTGTGCTTTTTTAACCTTTTGGTCAATAAAGAATTGTTATAAATATATTAAACCAATGCTGTGATATTTTAAAAATTAGTTTGATTATTGTTACAAAGCAGATAATAGATATATTATATCTTTATATGATTACGCTATCTTGCTGTTTATCTCACACTACAACTTAATCACAAACTTAATACACAATCCACCGTTGAAAAACTGTTGGATTAGATTAGTGTAGATTAGGAGTTTTGCGGAGTAGGTTTATCGATGGTCTTGCGGAGTTAGAACACGTGTAGGTCGGGTGGGCTATTTTAGTGGTTTAGTCTTTAGAGTGGTACATCTACGGCGCGCGGTACCACGTGGTTCACCATGTGACGCAGTGTAGTCGCTGGTTGCAGGCCCTGTTTGTGGCAGTTCGGGAGTAACACGTTCGGTTTAGTTTACGGCTTGTGTTAACATTATTTTGTTCAATTACAAAAAGATTTAACTCATTCGCAAATCTGTTTTAAAATGTTCATTAAAACTAATAAATTAGAATACGAATCACTGTACTGGTTTCATATCAATTTGTTGTTTTTATAGTATATTTCATTGCCCCTACTTTGATAAAATCTATCAGGATGGCATTAGTAAAGAACAGATCTGAGCTTGAGAGTAAAATGTTGGAAATCCAGCAGTGGCTTGCCACTCTGCCTGGTGATCTCCAGAACGAATCTTATGAGATAGATGAGTTTACTGTGGAGTACCTCTACCAACTTTGTCAGGTTTTAAGAAGTTAGCCTATTTGTTGATATGCGGTGTGTTGGATACAGTGACCCAATCTATAGCATCCCGGATCAATTAGTTGTGTTGTAACTTTTAATGATGATTTAATTAAGATTTACTTGCTCAACATTGGCATTTTCATTATATCATGGTCTCATCTTATCAACCTTTTCTACTTATACCTTTAGTCGAATAAAAAGAAGGACGAACACTTGGAACTAATGACAAAGGACAACTCAGAAAAAGCAGAAGAATACTCCACTGAAAACGATCGTATCAGCAAAGAGCTCGCAACACATGGTTCGTAGTGTTGCATGTTGGGACATTGTTTATATTCCTATGTTGTTACAGAAAATGTGGTATTTTACATGTCCGTTAGAGCATTGACGGATAGAACGATAAATTATACACGGTATTTTACCTCTAGATATATTTTTCACACGACCAAAAAACCTGAAAACCGAAACGCACAGGTGTTTCGGAGAGTGATTTGAGTGGTGAGTGCTTGGAAAGATTGTTGGAACTCGCTGATGTTGGGAACATTCTAGGGTTGAGCCATCCAACTTTAGAGAACTATTTGGTAAGTAATTATAACTAACGTCAATACCTACTGTTATGTTATGTATGAAATGTTCCTCTGTAACAGATCCAAATTAATTGGTATAATAGAGTAGCAATGCTGAAGATATTTATTTCAGATCAACCTATCGGATCACACGACCGAAGAGTGGGAACTAAAAGACAAGTCAAAAAAGCAAGAGGTAATGATGAAAACCTTGTCGGAGAATTTGGAGAGGCTGGATCTCACTATTGATAAATTAAATGCTGAATGCGAGGATGCGGGTAATAATAGGTACTTTTTTGCATTATTTAATCTAAGTGGGTAAGATAGTAGATACGTGCGGCTGGAAATTTTTTACCAAAAGCTGGTCCCCAAACCATTGCTTTAACCAGAGCTCTCTCGTGAGTCTCGCTTGCAATAGCGCGCGACCGCCGAAGGCTATGTGATCACCCAAACAAACAGAAATATTTTATTGTATTATTAGTATTGAAGGTATATAATAGTATAATTAAGTAATTATATAAACTAGACTACAACTATTGGCAGGGGGAGTACGTAACGGTAAATTCATTTTGGCACAGAACAGTGATTGACCGATCAAATCCGTAAATCGCTATCATTCTTCAACAAATTGAGGTCACCAGCCGTAGTCAACTGTTACACTTAACCAAATGTATCGTAAATTATGAAATGCACTAGGAGCGATGACATCGACCTGCCTGTCGAGATAGAGACAGCAAAAGCTCAAGCGCAGCATTACGTAGAGAGCACTAAAGAATTCAAGAAGTTGCTCAGTGTCAGTGGTATCAAGAAGGTACATATTTTAAACCATTATATATTATCATTTACGAAATAAAGTTGATCAAATATTGGTCCTATTTTTATTGACTGTATAGTCAAGTATAGTGTATGAAAGTATAAACGTACCCAAAACGTAATCTCTTTATTTTCAGGAGTACACTCACGAGCACCTACAGAAGATGTCAGAGAAATTGTCAGCACTCTCCGCAGACATTGAGCAAACAAAGAAGAGGATAGCTGACTTCAAGGAGCTTCCTCCGAGTATCCCTCTGGCTGTGGAGAAGATCAGGATGATTAAAATAGAGATTGAAACTGTTCAGCAGGAGTTTCCTGAACTAGCTTGTGTTAGTTGTCGTGATCTGTAAATATAGTTGTAGTGATCTGTAAATAGTTTATCTAACATATTTAATTATTTGTAATTATCAATTCATTAGTGCTACTAGTTTTGATATGTACATCGTATATTTTATTGTAGCATCGATAGGTCATTGCTAAATACCCGATAGCATATTGAAATTGTTTATATTTGATGAATAATGCTGTAATAATATTTTGAAGGTCCCTGAGTAAAATTGCAAACAAATAAGCAAGCGAATCATACACACTACACAGTTTAGGTTTTTGAATTCTTGAAAGCTGACTTAGTATAAGACTTATCAGCATCAAATTTAAATTTGTCCCACTTCAGTGGTTGTCTGACGAAAACATGTGCAAAATATAGACTAACATTGTATCCGTGATAGTCACTAAAGCTGCGTACTTATCCTTGCTGGTAGATTTACCATTACAAGTCCGTGGAACTACCTACCTTATCGGACTTTATTTGAACGGAAATTAATTCGACGCTCGAGGCCTTAGCGTTCATTTAAATGTCCGTTCAAATAAAGTCCGAAAAGGTAGTTAAATTAAATATATTAAATGAATGCCTTTGAGTGTTCATCTTAATGTCCGTTCAAAATTATGTCCGTTCACAAAATTTCCGGTAAAATAATGTCCGATAAGGTAAGTCAGATTTACCATACATATTACATAACCATCTCCATATATCCGGCATCAGCTGGGTCGCAGTTTCAGTTCCTTTTAAGAGTTTGTCGGTTGTTCCAACTTCCTTCAGTAACATAAACAAGCATTTTAGTCTCGATGTTGGCCTGATGTTGTTGTGCTCTATTCCGTTGCATAGTACCCAATTATTGTGTATAATCACTATTGTAGATCCAAAGTCCAAAGAACGGTCCAAATTAAAGGTTACTACAGTAAGAAAATGAAACTTATCGGCAATAATTACGAGGAGTCCTATTGTTGCGCATAATTACTATTTACATTCTTAATCATACTACATGATATTAAGATATTATACTGGATACTAACTTATCGGATACATTTTAGTTGAAATTGGTCACTCCTCCATAAATCGTCTTTCGTAAGAAGATGGCGATCAGACCTCGTTATCGAAATTGGTTACCCATTGGATCTGTGGTTCTTGTTTAACCGATAGCCATTGTCTTTACTACTATACAAGTGAACTACTATACTACTATACTAGTAATAGTATATTAGGATAATTGGGTTAAGTTTATTGTTTCGAGTCATTTTCATCACTAACTTTTAAAAGTCAGCCATGAAAATAGCTCCAAAATAACAAAGTTAAATCCGAAAATAAGATTCTTAAACCCTCGCAACGTTTACCTTTGTTGCCAGCTTAAAAAACAATTATGGTCATAACCCTAATAAAGTAATAACGTTGATGGCCTGATAATACTTTGTCCAGTATAACAACCTCTCTGTCAATCCGAATAACGGCGAGCAATCAGCTCTCAGTCACATCAGTTGGTCGACTCAGCCTGGTACCTTAGTTCACATTATTTCTCTAATTGTGGTATGAGAAAATATCAATACGAGAGCTGATATCAGTGCTATACGAGCATATGTTGTTTATGAGCATATATATAATATAGTATTAATATATGTGATATATGTGATATATGTGATATATGTGATATATGTGATATATGTGACAGTGATATATAATATGGTAGTGTGGCTATTGTCACAAATAATAGTGCACTTCTCAGTGTACCATCGCTCGCTGTTTTGTTCAATAGATTGGATGGATTATATCATGCCTATACTACAAATGCCAAATATAAATCTGTTGTCAAATTTGATGATCCTTTGTTTTGAGACAATCATACTTTTTTATTCTTCTTTGCTCAATCAAATTCTTTTGTTGTATAATCAAAGGAATATCCATGACATACATTGAGTATAACCACTGACCAAAGAAGTTAATTTCACTTCTGTTCCGAGTATAATCTCCGAGTTTGAGTGTCGATCCCGTTACATGGTATAAGTCCGGTGCAATGATCGTATCTTGAGACTGATCGTATCTTGTAATTCATTATAAAACATTGTCGCATTGTCGCATTCCTCCCTTAATGGTAAGAGTAATGCGTTCTTCCTTTTATTTTATTAGAAGCTCGCTTCCTTACGGTGACAGCTGCCTTTAATTGCCAAATCAAACTTCCTAATTTCTCATTGTCACTCAATCAGTCGCTTATATCTTAGCTGATATCAGCTTATCGTTATATCATGTTTTGTAATGGTACATTGTTGGCACACACGTAGATCTGACTTACATTAATTTACATTATAATTTTGAAAGCATCTACTGATTTGTTCACTAATACTACTACTATGTCGGAACTAAGTCCGATCTACGCCAGATAACCCCCTCCGTATATCCCTGTCCCGCATCAGGGTTCGCAGTTCCTCTTTGACTTTAGAGTTTGTCCCAACTTCCTTCAGTAACATAGAAAAGTAGTTTTGTCTTGGTCGGCCATGCTGTGCTCTACCATGCATAGGTTCCCATAAGACTACGAGAGGATTTTTTTTCTCCCTTTGAATTAATCAAGCTAGATGATTTGTTGTAAATACTGAGATCAAACTATCAATTTACAGGCTATCGTAAAATATGTTGCAAGGCGTCATCTTCAGTGACACGAGCCTACAAATTGTAAAAACCCCATTACGTGATGAATTATGTTTTCGTTCGTTTGATTATTACAATTCGTTGGTATTTTGTTGAGGAATGATCGCTATATACATGCCAATTGAATAATAGGTCTATGTAATGATAGACAACAATATACACTGTCTTATTCTCTTATTAGTTACTTATTAGTTACGTATTACAGTAGTAGAGTAGTAGTACTGTATTAGTACTAGCAATCAGATACAACACCGCCGTGGAACCTAAAATGAAGCAACCAGCGATCTAGAAAGCTAGAAGACGATTAGGAATAAATCAGTATATTGGTAATCTTTCTTCGCTCTTATGAGTGGGTCGATCATATAGTTTGATATTTAATCCGTGGGATTCAAGTATTTACAGTAGTTTAGAGAGTGGGTCTACTATAGTCTGTTCTGTGCTGTAACAATATACAGTCTTTATAACTGCTGTAGCGAACATAGTAAACTTGAAACTTACATTTTACACTAATTCTAGATTTGATTGGTGGGTGAAGCTGATTACTTAGATTCACCTAGTTACCATGGTAACTATACTGATGATTCACCTAGTTACCATGGTAACTATTTTACCATGGTAACTATGTCCGTTCAAATAAAGACCGTCAAGGTATTTAAATTAAATACATTAAATGAATGCCTTCAAGCGTTCATTTAGATGTCCGTTCAAAATTATGTCCGTTCACTTTATGTCCGGTCAAATAACGTCTGATAAGGTAGTTAATCGGTGTCACGTGTGGAAAACATTAAAGCTCCCCACCATGAGTCCTATAATTGTGACCATAAAATTCACGAATTAGCTTAATCTATAAATAGAATCATTACTTAACTAGTTAACTCAACCCTAACACCATCATCTCAGGCAAGGAAAACGTAAAGAAAACAAAGCAATAACGTAACAGATAAAAGGGCTGAAAGTTTTAAAAAGAAGAGAAATGCCGGTAGTGCGAGATGCCCGACTTGGTTACAACCAGGGTAGAGCTAGTTTGGGTCACATCACCCTAGCGTCCCGGAGTAAGACCATCATGAGGGGGGACAAGTATTGGGACACCAACATGACAGCTGCTAAGAAACAGAACCTCATGAAGAAGAGTATTCTGTGGCGTGGTAATATGGTCCAGGTTAGTTCACTTTTTATTCTGTGGCGTGGTAATTATATGGTCCAGGTCAGTTCACTTCTTATTCTGTGGCGTGGTAATATGGTCCAGGTCAGTTCACTTCTTTATCGTTCTGTGGCGTGGTAATATGGTCCAGGTCAGTTCACTTTTTTATCGTTCTGTGGCGTGGTAATATGGTCCAGGTCAGTTCACTTCTTTATCGTCTAACAGTACTCAAACACAAGTAAATATTTCTTGATGGGAGCTATATTTAACAGTACTCAAACACAAGGACGTTTTTCTTTGTGGGAGTTATATCTAACAGTAGTCGAACACAATTATATGTTTCTTGATGGAAGCTATATTTAACAAAAGTCAAACACAAGGACATATTTCTTGATGGGAGCTATATCTAACAGTAGTCAAACACAAGGACTTATTTCTTGATGGGAGCTATATTTAACAGTACTTAACAATTGTAAACGGGTTTCCAAATGCAGGGATCACGCGGTTTTCAGGTAAAATATTTTTTTATATATATTTTAATTAATTGGTAATCTTTCTTCGCTCTTATGAGTGGGTCGATCATATTCTATTTTGATGATCAGAGTTGGTGACGAAGTGAGAGTCTCCACTCAGCGTTTCAAAACAAATTAGTTGTCCACGTTCCGGCAACATGCCTTTATCATGGACCGGACGTTACAATAACTTATATAGCTCAATAAATATAATAGATTTGTAGTGTTGTAATTAGTTTAAAATATATGATATTTGAAAATATAATAATACATGAAATATGATATTTTAAATCATTAACGCTGTATGTGTGCAGTCAGTGGAAACAGTTGTTTTTTTTTCAATATCCCAAAATTATCAACAAAATATCTGAATAAAATACAATTATCTGAATTTTATGAGCACATTCACAATCAATATGCCTTAATGATCAACGTAATTATCTTTCCTGTGAACTTAATTAGTGGGTGTGCATTCCATGTCACATCTTAAAAACAAAAGGATTAATATTAGCAAAAGGTTACATGTTGGCTGGTTATGATTATTAAGTTATTCATAGCATTTAGCAAACGACTTCATATTCGGAAAATATAAACAAAAACAAGGTATTTTGGCACTTTTAGATTTGATTGAGTATTCGCACTTTCGAAAAAAATTGCATTTCCTTTTACAAGCTCTTTTTTAATTTTGTCGTTGTAATACCGGTTTCTTAGTCAATTTTTCATAGTTTAAATAGCGATCACACCCAAACAACATTCCAATTGTTGCTGAACATCCCTCACGTTAGCAGTTTACAATATTTAACACTCCTATTAAAGCTGATTTAGGGATTTAGATACTTTTCATATTTTCCGACTGATTTTTAAAAATTTTCCGACTAGTTCTGCGCATAGTTTTCCAATTTTTGATTTTCTCAAAAGGGCCAAACGAAGAATGACTACAATAATTAATGACTGAATCTGTTATCAGACAATTAATCCTAACATTGTCACTCAAATATATAAATAAGTAAATACAACTCAATACTGTCACTCTATCTTTTGGGACTATAGCTCACGAACCAATATAATATGACAGTATGATTTGGGTGATAGTTTCGAATGGAGAATGATGTAATTTTATTAGATCTATCAGCTGGCTAAAAGAACAAGGGACCAACCTTTTTAATGGAATCTTCATTGCTCTATCTCATTGAAAATATTTAATGATGGCTGATTGGTTGCTTTGTCTAATAGAGATGTGGTACAATTAGAAGAATTGTAGGACACAAAAAGTCACCATCATGGTATTATGGTGTAATTCAGCCATCCTTTTAAGTTCAATTTTCTTACGGTTCACTTTACCCATTGCTTGTAATACTCTTATAAAGTTATAAGCAAGCATAACAAAATACGTCATCTGTTTCAGAACACGTAATGTTTTGTGTAGATACTACGTTTTGCACTTGTTGTTTATTGATTTTCATACAAAGTTACAACAAATTCTTCGTGTTATGCATCCTGGGTTTGGACAGGATATGACCCGTTTAAAATATTGCCATCACGTTACATAATTTTCAATAAATGTAATAGATTTGTAGTGTTGTAATTAGTTTAAAACTAAATAGTTGCAGTTTTCAAATGTGGTATCAACTTCGGTTTAAGTTTAACTGTTGTATCTCAGAATGGGAAAGAGGGCAAATGGGTTAGGTGTTCTATTTCCCCATATAAAATATAATATCATGAAGAAAGTCGTCCGTTGCTAGATTAAAATTCAACGAAGCGTCGTAGTGCTAATATTCCGGCAGCCTGTTGAGTTACAGCGCCTTCCAGCATTATGAATGGATAGCACTTTACTTCTTGATGACAGTCAAGAAACGTTGACAGCTTAACAATTATCTTGTATACCTGAACTTTTCCCAAAAAGAGAAGAGGGCTGATAAAAAATGTTTTATATGCCACCAATAACGACCTGAAAACTTAGGCCACATAATAAAATCTAATTACTTTAATTAATATTAAAATACAATGACTAACATGCCAGTAGTCAGGATATATTAACACTGACTATAAAGAGCGAGGAACCAAAACTCTTGTTCCTGCAATTTTCCTGCAATGCCAAACAGTCCCGGAGCTTTCTCATTGTGTCGATACACTAGCAGGTACAGCTTACTTACACGTTACATCTTTAATATTTCAACCTATACCTTTCTGTTGACAGCCTCAAATTCTAGCATTATTTTTCATATTCTCGAATTGTTTTGTTTTTCTCGGTGGAGATGAAGACTTGGGTTCACCGACATTCTCGCCGCGGGCTGGCGATTGTTGGGCTAACGGAGGAGAAAAAGAAATCTTTACCTGTTTCTCGGAAGAATTCTGACCAGAATGATCAGGTTCAGGTATATAGTGTATTACAGTATGTATAGTGTAGTACAGTATGTATAGTTTAGTACAGTATGTATAGTGTAGTACAGTATGTATAGTGTAGTACAGTATATATAGTGTAGTACAGTATGTATAGTTTAGTACAGTATGTATAGTGTAGTACAGTATGTATAGTGTAGTACAGTATGTATAGTGTAGTACAGTATGTATAGTGTACTACAGTATGTATAGTGTAGTACAGTATGTATAGTGTAGTACAGTATGTATAGTGTACTACAGTATGTATAGTGTACTACAGTATGTATAGTGTACTACAGTATGTATAGTGTAGTACAGTATGTATAGTGTAGTACAGTATGTATAGTGTAGTACAGTATGTATAGTGTAGTACAGTATGTATAGTGTAGTACAGTATGTATAGTGTAGTACAGTATGTATAGTGTAGTACAGTATGTATAGTGTAGTACAGTATGTATAGTGTACTACAGTATGTATAGTGTAGTACACTATGTATAGTGTACTACAGTATGTATAGTGTACTACAGTATGTATAGTGTAGTACAGTATGTATAGTGTACTACAGTATGTATAGTGTACTACAGTATGTATAGTGTAGTACAGTATGTATAGTGTACTACAGTATGTATAGTGTAGTACAGTATGTATAGTGTACTACAGTATGTATAGTGTACTACAGTATGTATAGTGTACTACAGTATGTATAGTGTACTACAGTATGTATAGTGTACTACAGTATGTATAGTGTAGTACAGTATGTATAGTGTAGTACAGTATGTATAGTGTACTACAGTATGTATAGTGTAGTACACTATGTATAGTGTAATACAGTATGTATAGTGTACTACAGTATGTATAGTGTAGTACACTATGTATAGTGTACTACAGTATGTATAGTGTAGTACAGTATGTATAGTGTAGTACAGTATGTATAGTGTAGTACAGTATGTATAGTGTAGTACAGTATGTATAGCGTAGTACAGTATGTATAGTGTAGTACAGTATGTATAGTGTAGTACAGTATGTATAGAGTAGTACAGTATGTATAGCGTACTACAGTATGTATAGTGTACTACAGTATGTATAGTGTACTACAGTATGTATAGTGTAGTACACTATGTATAGTGTACTACAGTATGTATAGTGTAGTACAGTATGTATAGTGTAGTACAGTATGTATAGTTTAGTACAGTATGTATAGTGTACTACAGTATGTATAGTGTAGTACAGTATGTATAGTGTATTACAGTATGTATAGTGTACTACAGTATGTATAGTGTAGTACAGTATGTATAGTGTAGTACAGTATGTATAGTGTAGTACAGTATGTATAGTGTACTACAGTATGTATAGTGTAGTACACTATGTATAGTGTACTACAGTATGTATAGTGTAGTACAGTATGTATAGTGTAGTACAGTATGTATAGTGTAGTACAGTATGTATAGTGTAGTACAGTATGTATAGTGTAGTACAGTATGTATAGTGTAGTACAGTATGTATAGTGTAGTACAGTGTGTATAGTGTAGTACAGTATGTATAGTGTAGTACAGTGTGTATAGTGTAGTACAGTATGTATAGTGTAGTACAGTATGTATAGTGTAGTACAGTATGTATAGTGTAGTACAGTATGTATAGTGTAGTACAGTATGTATAGTGTAGTACAGTATGTATAGTGTAGTACAGTATGTATAGTGTAGTACAGTATGTATAGTGTAGTACAGTATGTATAGTGTAGTACAGTATGTATAGTGTAGTACAGTATGTATAGTTTAGTACAGTATGTATAGTGTAGTACAGTATGTATAGTGTAGTACAGTATGTATAGTATAGTACAGTATGTATAGTGTAGTACAGTATGTATAGTGTAGTACACTTTGTATAGTGTAGTACACTATGACGTGTACCTGTAGACTATGTGTACTAGTTCTGTTTTTATGCCAGGTCCATGCGTTGAACGTGAAGTATTTATACACAGTGCTCGTTCAAAGCTGTACAAAATAATTAGTAATCAGAACGTCTGATTTCCACTTATGCTCGAATCGTAGATTGACAATTAATTTTGTGTGATAAACGTGACTGCACATGAAGTTTGCACAAAGCAATCGAATCGATTTCGCTTAAAACTTCATCCAAATTTTCAACCCTGCATTCTCTCGTAAGTGCCTAGTTTCCATTTGTCTAAATCCAAACCTCCCCCAAATCACAATATATAAGTTGTCTATGAGACATGTTCATATTTGCAGAGGGAGACGGCTATTCGTGAATTTATGTACCGACTATTGAATTCATGGTTACTACATTTTAACTTAAGTACATAAGAAGGGCTGCATATTTGCCGATATTTATTTTCCGGTAGCCAGAAGTATTAGTAAGATAAATACTAATAGCTTCTATACCATATCAACCCATTCTCAATCTGTAGCTCTTTCATTCTACTATTCTAAATCCATTGGCTCATTTGTGTCCTGCAGCCTTGATTTTGATCGTGAACAATTCCCATCTCAAATGTCAATGCTATCAGAAGAGTTTATCTATCAGGTAACTTTCGTTATATTTTGTATTATAAATAAAGTGCCTTCAGAAGGAAATAGAAACTTTATTAAAAATGATATGAAATAGTTTAATCCGGACATTATTTCATCCCCCTATTGTTTGGAAGTTTTCATCTTGGATTATGATTTTTCTGATGAGAGGTGAATGCAGCTTTACAGAGGACTAATGACTATCAAAATGGACAAAATATTGTTAAGTTTAACATGGCAAATTAGTCGCAAATCGTTTATAGCCTAATTGTGGTTCTTCTTAGATAGAGTCTATAGAGATTATAGAACCGTTTATATGGGATCCTGGTACCATTCTCCAAAACTTGGAAAAATGAGACAAACGGTATAATTTAAATATAATTTTAAAAAAAATTGTAGACAAATTATAACATTTTAAAATACATAAAAAAAAATAAATCTAATATTTTAACAATTTTCTAATAATGAATATCACAAATATTAATAACAGGACAGCTCAGAGCAACTTATGACATTAAATAAATTACATTAAATCACATTAATACAATATACTAATATACTTGAAACTAGAAGACCAATATGAATAACAAAGATAATCTCAAATATTTGATACACGAGAAACGCCATTCTCAGACGTGAGGAGAGTGAGGACTCCTCCAACTACATTAAATTAATTCCTTCTGTAACGTCCTCAGTAATAGATTTGTAGTGTGTAATTAGTTTAAATTACCAGTGAGATAACCAGTTATATTAGTTAACTGGCCCGCAAATTACATACACTTCACGTCCCAGGCAGATGTGGGCGAGGGTATATTAACTTTATTATCAGTGTGATGTATTCTGCTACTTTGTAATTTATCTCAGACCGGACAGTTCGTCTTTGAAATTTTGGCTTTCCGACTTTGTTGCTCTTCAAAACCCAGCATATTGGTTTGTTTGTTTCATAAAAGAGAACTGTGAAACTTTATTCCTCGTTAGAGGTGAAACATCGGAAGTCAAGTCTGGAAAATTGAAACTGCCTGCTATAACAACTTAACAAGAGAAGCAGCTGCCGTGAAATAGGATTTATCTTTGTCGTAAGAGTGAAAGATGCCATACGTTAATTCTGGTACAGACTTCAACAATCATGTCAGCTGGGATTGGACTCATGAGAGTGGGCCCGCGGTATATATTTATATATACTTTCAATTTTATATCATTTATATGTAAACCTCAATTTATTTATATATATTTATATACTTATAGTGTTTATAAATCAATAAACTTTCAAAATGTTACACAAATACATCATTTTATGATAAAGAAAAATCGCCGAATGACCTTACATGCATTGACAAGTGACCGAGTGTAAATAAACTAATAAAATTAGGGACATCGAAATACCGGTTGACCAGTAAACTGGTCATAGCAATTACATCGGGCCCTATATACTTTCAATATAGTTTTTATAAATATACGATTTTGAAAATTTTGGACTTCAGCCACAAATAATGTCGATAGCAGACTACAATATGTAATTTTTGAGAAAGGTGACATTAAGTTTTGAGCAGATACTTAATTAATGACTAATTATTGGTCATATTTTTAGTGATTATTATAAACTTTATCATATTTACGACCAAATTTAGTTAAAAATAACCGTGAATTTTGATTTTGTCAAAAATTATGGAAATAGAAAAAAGTCACATTTTATGCGGTACACCCTGTACACTGTATATCATAATATATATAGTACATATGTATATATTATATTTATATATATTATTCGAACAATTGAAACAAATCAAATTGGCGGGCAAATATTCCGTTTCATGATATGTATAAAACAATATGTATACAATATATATATATAACAATATAGTATACACATATAATATATACATTTCAATTTTATTTTATTTCCAAAAGCCAAAAATATAAAAATTGAAATTTATTTAAAACGTCATTGCCCTTCCTTTTTATCAAAATTATGTACACTTTTCGATTACCAGATATGTACTTTTTTCAATTAGCACATACTTACGACGTTTCAAGCTATTAAAATATTAATTAATGCAAGTCACAGTAATCCGAGTCCCGGCCGTCACTTACTCCATTGATATCTAATTTAATCGAATTTTATGGGATCTTTATCAGATTAAATCCTGAAATCAGATCAAATTACGCTGAAAACGGACCCACTATTCTCAATTATTATCATATACCACACACAACATGAAATGCTACTATTATATAATTTTTATGACACTGTTGACATGCCTCGTTCTTTTCTATGCTAGTATTACGTTGTCATTTAAAGTGATCTTAGTCGATCAATTAAATTTTGTTTAACGTTAATTGGGATACAAATTAACATATTCATGGATGGTTCAATGGATAGTAATACTATTAGTATGATATGCCAGGTAAAGGGTATTCACAAGGGGTCACATAAATTTCTCCAATAAAAAGGCATGGTTCATGCAGTATATTTGTGATTACGTTTTGGAAAATCAGTCGAAGCAAATTCTTTTCCATTTTGTCTCCAGGAACAGTTTGATAGATAATGTTCCCACCGGCTCTTAATCTCACAGGACATTAAATTAAAATGGACGAAACAAGAGTCGGTTATAGTTATAGCAATATTCCAAGGTCTCCCATCATTCTCAGTTCTGATCGTATCTCACGGCCCGTATAATACCTCACCGACATTAACTACTGAATGAATCCCGTACCAATGTTATACATTTTATACAATGTATATAATTTATGGGGTCCGGACTCTAGGGCGTAAGACTCTAGGGCGTAAGACTCTAGGGTCTTAGGGTTAGGGTTAGGGTTAGGGTTAGGGTTTGGGTTTGGGTTAGGGTTAGGGTTAGGGTTAGGATAAGGGTTAGGGTTAGGGTTAGGGTGATGGTTAGGGTTAGGGCGCCGCCCTAAAGTCTCACGCCCTAGAGTCTTACGCCCTAGAGTCCCGGACCCATAATTTAAACATTGTATACAATATATATATAATTTATACATTGTATACAATATATACAATTTATAAATTTAAACATTGTATACATTTCATGGTAATGTATACATTGTACATCACCCTACATTTCAGGTGTTGCTGGGAAGAACGGGGATGGACCCGAGTGAAAGACTGGCGGTAGTTCGAGTAGAGACTCAAAACGCTAAACTCATCAGGATTGATTGTGGAGGAGAGAAGTTCATTACTACAGAGGACTCCTTGTCGAGATATCCTAACACTCTGCTAGGAGATCCTAAGGTACAGTGTCCTTATTATCAACGGCATTATCTTCAGTGTTGCTTGCCTTTTCAAAATCAGCTTTTTGTATTTTGTTTAAAAACCTTTAGCTGCATTACAGCGGAGAGATAAGTACTACGATTCCAAGACAGGATACCACTACTTTGACAGGAACCAAGACTTGTTCAGTGCTATTCTCTATTTCTACCAATCCCCTGGCACATTTAGGTAAATATCACATTTTAAAAGTACGCAATTTCCATTGAACATTTATAAATAGTAATTACTTATCCATCACTTGAGGATTATTATTTTTTTGTTGGGGACTGGCCCGAACTGCCAGCCAATGTTTACTAAAAATGTATAATATGAAAATATTATAATATATCTAATAAGATCAGCTTTAATCCTTGAATTGTTTCAGAGCCCCAGAAAGTATCGACCCCGTGGTAGTTGAGGAGGAATTAGACTTTTTTGGGATAAATCTTCAAAAAATGATTGACGATTACGACGAAATGGTGGCGGCCAACAACCCAATTCTCCCCCCTACAATGAGAGAAAGCATTAACAATACGGTACTTTTCGTTACTTTACTCTATACTAGCAGGAACCCGTATAACCCTAAAATAGTGTCAAGACTCAAGAGACTAAATAATTATTACCAATTTAATTCGCGTTTTTGACACCACTTGGGGGTTCAAATTTTGGGCTCTAAAAATCCCATCCCTTGGCCGATTTTTTATTTTTTCATGCTGATTTGGAGGCCATTAAAGCATTTGACCCAGTCAAAAAAGTATCAGTTGTATATCTTTTACGGTTTTTGCAGAAAGTTGCGTTAAAGTTGATGCCGTGGTGTCAGTAAAATGGTACGGATAAACACATCCATATATATCGTCTCGCTTTATATATAGTAAGATAGTATCCTCCTTCGTATAGTTAACTTTTGCGAACGATTCTGCAAAAAATGAATATGCTTCCGAATCGGCGAATCATAAGCTGGTATAGTAACCTATTTAGTGATTAGTAACCTGTTTAGTGATTAGTAACCTGTTTAATCATCAGTAACCTGTTTGGTGATTAGTAACCTATTTAGTGATTAGTAACCTGTGTGGTGATTAGTAACCTGTTTGGTGATTAGTAACCTGTTTAATCATCAGTAATTCCTGTTTAATCATCAGTAACCTGTTATATATGGTATCCTACAGATAACAGACCCGAGCTACAACAAAATGAGTATGGTGTGGGGATTGCTAGATCTGGCTTGTATCATCCTAACCATCTCAATGCTGGTTCTGGAAACTATTCCTGATTACGAGAAACATTTCAAAAATCCCTTCACTGAACCTTACAAAATTGCAATCTACTCGCTTGATGTAGGAATTAACCTTTTCTTCACCCTTGATCTGATCATCAAGTAAGTATAGCTACTGAAACTCGCGATATAAGGTTAACAGGATCAAGGATGCCATGTCTAGGATATCTGATACATATCTTAATCGTGTATAACGACCCTAACTAAGGATCAAATCTGCCAAATTTAGACTTGTTGCAACGAGGCAACCCTGATTTAATCAGAGTTGAGCCCAAAATATTCATTATTAAAACACATTTTCTCAGGTTCCTATCGTCAGCGAACCAAAAGCGCTTTTTCTTCGACACGATGAACATAATGGACATCCTGGCAGTCACCCCCTTTTACGTAGAGCTGGTTGTCTTCCTTGTAGAGGATGGGACCCCTCCTCCACAATTTTTCGCGCTCAAGGTTGTCAGGGTAGCTTACATTTTACATTCACTGACAGTTCATCTTACAGATTAGTACGGTTTGGAGTGTGTGTGGAGTGCAAGCGTGCTAAATCACTCTACACTCGATCTTAGAGATTTTTCTGAAAGGGCCCCCGACAGTTCAGCATATGCTTTTGTCAGGGATTAGATTAGACGGTTAGAATAGTCGTTCAGGGCCATCTAGAAAACGGGTTGAAAAAGTCACGTGACAGTCGAGTGTAGAGTGATTAATCATCATCCTGTGGAGTGTGTGATGACCTTTCTACACGGAGATGATCACACCTGATCCCCTATATAGTGACGTATCTTGCAGAGTGTACGATATCAACTCAAACTGACTGCTTAACTCACTTCACTTTTATTCATCTGACTATCTGACAATCATTTTTATATTTGTTTGGTATTGCAGTTTTCACAGCTTTATATGCATTATGCTATCCGTGTATACCAGAAAATCTAACAAAGCAATATTAAAGCGTTCAAATTTACAGAATCCTGCTAAATTTGTTAACTGAATTTGTTTTTGCTGTTATCTTGATGGCAAGTAGATAATGACTTATTATTTAATTGCCATCAAGAGTTTTTTTCAGATCTCTCTTTACCGCGAACCAGTTACAGTGGCGTAACAACACCTTATGCACTATTCCTTCGTTTTGATATTTTATCACTTTGTATGCTTTTGACTATTTTTGGGCTGTTCGTTACGCCACTGTCAACCTTTGGGTTCCTACCTAACCGTGAAGTTATCAGTTTAATTTGACTTGTTACAATTCCCAAGGTTTGCAGGATTGTGCGAGTTGTTAGGGTGTTAAAGCTGGTCAGACACAGTAGACAGTTAACTGAAGTCATGGAGGTAAGGCGTAAGCCATGTTAACTGTGTTAACCATGTTAACCATGCTAACCATGCTAACCATGCTAACCATGTTAACTGTGTTAACCATGCTAACCATGTTAACCATGTTAACAGTAGCCAGTTAACTGAAGTCATGGGGGTAAGGCCATGTTAACTGTGTTAACCATGCTAACCATGCTGACCATGGTAACCATGTTAACCATCATGTTAACAGTGGCCAGTTAACTGAAGTCATGGGGGTAAGGCCATGTTAACTGTGTTAACCATGCTAACCATGTTAATCATGTTAACCATGTTAACCATGTTAACAGTAGCCAGTTCACTGAAGTCATGGGGGTAAGGCCATGTTAACTGTGTTAACCATGCTAACCATGTTAACCATGTTAACCATGTTAACCATGTTAACCATGTTAACAGTAGCCAGTTCACTGAAGTCATGGGGGTAAGGCCATGTTAACTGTGTTAACCATGTTAAACGTGTTAACCATTTTAAACATGTTAACTATGTTAATCATATTAATCATGTTAACCATGTTAAACGTGTTAACCATGTTGAACATGTTAAACATGTTAACCATGTTAAACATGTTAACCATGTCAATCATATTAATCATCTTAAACATGTTAACCATGTTAATCATATTAATCATGTTAACCATGTTAACCATGTTAATCATATTAACCATGTTAAACGTGTTAAACATGTTAAACATGTTAACCATGTCAATCATATTAATCATGTTAACCATGTTAACCATGTTAAACATGTTAACCATGTTAATCATATTAATCATGTTAACCATGTTAATCATATTAATCATCTTAAACATGTTAACCATGTTAATCATATTAATCATGTTAACCATGTTAACCATATTAATCATATTAACCATGTTAAACGTGTTAACCATGTTAAACATGTTAACCATGTCAATCATATTAATCATCTTAAACATGTTAACCATGTTAATCATATTAATCATGTTAACCATGTTAACCATGTTAATCATATTAACCATGTTAAACGTGTTAACCATGTTAAACATGTTAACCATGTCAATCATATTAATCATCTTAAACATGTTAACCATGTTAATCATATTAATCATGTTAACCATGTTAACCATGTTAATCATATTAACCATGTTAAACGTGTTAAACATGTTAAACATGTTAACCATGTCAATCATATTAATCATGTTAACCATGTTAACCATGTTAAACATGTTAACCATGTTAATCATATTAATCATGTTAACCATGTTAATCATATTAATCATATTAATCATGTTAATCATATTAATCATGTTAATCATATTAATCATGTTAATCATGTTAAACGTGTTAACCATGTTAACCATATTAACCATGTTAAACGTGTTAAACATGTTAAACATGTTAACCATGTCAATCATATTAATCATGTTAACCATGTTAACCATGTTAAACATGTTAACCATGTTAATCATATTAATCATGTTAACCATGTTAATCATATTAATCATATTAATCATGTTAATCATATTAATCATGTTAATCATATTAATCATGTTAATCATGTTAAACGTGTTAACCATGTTAACCATATTAACCATGTTAACCATGTTAAGCATGTTAACAGTAGCCAGTTAACTGAAGTCATGGGGGTAAGGCCATGTTAACTGTGTTAACCATGCTAACCATGCTGACCATGTTTACCATGTTAACCATCATGTTAACAGTAGCCAGTTAACTGAAGTCATGGGGGTAAGGCCATGTTAACTGTGTTAACCATGCTAACCATGTTAATCATGTTAACCATGTTAACCATGTTAACAGTAGCCAGTTCACTGAAGTCATGGGGGTAAGGCCATGTTAACTGTGTTAACCATGTTAAACGTGTTAACCATTTTAAACATGTTAACTATGTTAATCACATTAATCATGTTAACCATGTTAAACGTGTTAACCATGTTGAACATGTTAAACATGTTAAACATGTTAACCATGTTAACCATGTTAAACATGTTAACCATGTCAATCATATTAATCATCTTAAACATGTTAACCATGTTAATCATATTAATCATGTTAACCATGTTAACCATGTTAATCATATTAACCATGTTAAACGTGTTAAACATGTTAAACATGTTAACCTTGTCAATCATATTAATCATGTTAACCATGTTAACCATGTTAAACATGTTAACCATGTTAATCATATTAATCATGTTAACCATGTTAATCATATTAATCATATTAATCATGTTAATCATATTAATCATATTAATCATGTTAACCATGTTAACCATGTTAAACATGTTAACCATGTTAATCATATTAATCATGTTAACCATGTTAATCATATTAATCATATTAATCATGTTAATCATATTAATCATGTTAATCATATTAATCATGTTAATCATATTAATCATATTAACCATGTTAAACGTGTTAACCATGTTAAACATGTTAACCATGTCAATCATATTAATCATCTTAAACATGTTAACCATGTTAATCATATTAATCATGTTAACCATGTTAACCATGTTAATCATATTAACCATGTTAAACGTGTTAACCATGTTAAACATGTTAACCATGTCAATCATATTAATCATCTTAAACATGTTAACCATGTTAATCATATTAATCATGTTAACCATGTTAACCATGTTAATCATATTAACCATGTTAAACGTGTTAAACATGTTAAACATGTTAACCATGTCAATCATATTAATCATGTTAACCATGTTAACCATGTTAAACATGTTAACCATGTTAATCATATTAATCATGTTAACCATGTTAATCATATTAATCATATTAATCATGTTAATCATATTAATCATGTTAATCATATTAATCATGTTAATCATGTTAAACGTGTTAACCATGTTAACCATATTAACCATGTTAAACGTGTTAAACATGTTAAACATGTTAACCATGTCAATCATATTAATCATGTTAACCATGTTAACCATGTTAAACATGTTAACCATGTTAATCATATTAATCATGTTAACCATGTTAATCATATTAATCATATTAATCATGTTAATCATATTAATCATGTTAATCATATTAATCATGTTAATCATGTTAAACGTGTTAACCATGTTAACCATATTAACCATGTTAACCATGTTAAGCATGTTAACAGTAGCCAGTTAACTGAAGTCATGGGGGTAAGGCCATGTTAACTGTGTTAACCATGCTAACCATGCTGACCATGTTTACCATGTTAACCATCATGTTAACAGTAGCCAGTTAACTGAAGTCATGGGGGTAAGGCCATGTTAACTGTGTTAACCATGCTAACCATGTTAATCATGTTAACCATGTTAACCATGTTAACAGTAGCCAGTTCACTGAAGTCATGGGGGTAAGGCCATGTTAACTGTGTTAACCATGTTAAACGTGTTAACCATTTTAAACATGTTAACTATGTTAATCACATTAATCATGTTAACCATGTTAAACGTGTTAACCATGTTGAACATGTTAAACATGTTAAACATGTTAACCATGTTAACCATGTTAAACATGTTAACCATGTCAATCATATTAATCATCTTAAACATGTTAACCATGTTAATCATATTAATCATGTTAACCATGTTAACCATGTTAATCATATTAACCATGTTAAACGTGTTAAACATGTTAAACATGTTAACCTTGTCAATCATATTAATCATGTTAACCATGTTAACCATGTTAAACATGTTAACCATGTTAATCATATTAATCATGTTAACCATGTTAATCATATTAATCATATTAATCATGTTAATCATATTAATCATATTAATCATGTTAACCATGTTAACCATGTTAAACATGTTAACCATGTTAATCATATTAATCATGTTAACCATGTTAATCATATTAATCATATTAATCATGTTAATCATATTAATCATGTTAATCATATTAATCATGTTAATCATATTAATCATGTTAATCATGTTAAACGTGTTAACCATGTTAACCATATTAACCATGTTATGTTATTGCTAAAGAACATGACCATTTAGCCCACAAATATTCAGTTAACCAATAATTTACATTATAATACCTCAGGTGGTGTCATCAGCTAAGCAAGAATTCTTCGTGCTAATAGGGGTAGTGGGAGTGGTGATTCTTCTTGTAGGAACTATCATGTACTTTGTAGAGTACCAAATACCAGATGTATGCATTGTTTATTTTATATTCTTAGATTGAATGTTATAAGGTAGAATTTTTGAAAATGTTTAAATCTTTAATCCTTAAAGTTTATTTTTCTTATTAAATTGCTAACGGGTGGAAGGTTTCTGTGGCGTATATTATACTTAATTTGATGATTTTATTACTCGGATGATAAAGTTCCCTTACTAAACACTACTCAATAACACAACTCTAAACCTCAGGACAGAAATGAGCACTTTATATCTATCCTCCATGGTTGTTGGTGGGCTATCGTTACCATAACAACTGTCGGATACGGTGACTTGTATCCCAGGTCAGTGATTTCTTCTGTCAGTGATATCATGATATCTTCTGTGCCAGCTCGATAGAGTTACTGAATTAACAAGTATCACATTCTTACATTCCTATGATCATACTTATACAAGTACAGGGTGGGCCAAAAGTCAGTGTACATACGTTGGCCTTAGTGGCTGAGCTATTAAGGCCAACGTATGTTCACTGACTTTTGGCCCACCCTGTATTATTTCCACTGTTTAGTATATAAATGTTAAAAAGCGTGGGTCAGTGAAACAATTACAGAGGCCGCCCAAAGTCTCGATATAAACATCACTTCCACCTAGTAATAAAATGAGGAAATGTGAAAAAATCTAAAAATAATGTATGCATATTGCATATTATATACTTATTTAAGATTAATTTCCACTGACACTTGACAGTGACAAGCTACTAATTCAGGTCCACGCTGGGACGGTTAACTGGTAGTTTCGTAGTCCTATTTGGAATCGTAGTGCTCGCCTTCCCCATGACTATCATTATCTCCAAGTTCCAAGACTCCTTCACCGTCAAGAAACTGAATGCTAACAAAGAAATGACTCGAAAGTTGCGGGAAATGGCCATTGCCGGTTACTCCTGTGCCGGCAGTTCCACTTCCAGTCCCGCCTCCACTAGGGTGGTCAATGGGAAAGCTCACATTCCTAAACAGAGCAAACCGTCCGAACCGGAAGATGAATGTCAGACACGTTTGGTTCCTAAACATAGCGCTCAATTTGCAGCCAACATTATTTCACCAGTCGCGCTTTTTAAATGATTTTAATTTCCTTTAAAACTCTCTGGTAGTGCATGTTATTCCAAATCTTATCATTGCTTAACATTGCATATTATGCCACTGCATTTATGATGGAATCAGAATGATTATCATATTGATTTTGATACATATATGCTAGTTTGAATAAACACTTTTTGTGTTCAACTGTAAATTTTAAAAAGTCGAGGGGTATCGCTGATTGTTTAAATTTTTAATCATGATTTAAATTTTATCTAACACTTTTGATTATGAAAAATCGCCCTCCACTTAATTCAGAAGTTGATGAGTGTTTTAGTTTTTTTACCTTACTCGGGATTATTACGACGGGTTTATTAACGACCGGTTAAAATATGGTGCGGGAAAAATATGGCGAAATTGCTCAAAACCCACCACATTTTCCCGGTCGCCATTTTACTGGTGTCCAACCTTTCAATTTTAGATTCAAAAATTTTGTCTCAGATGTAAATTTCCTTATTAGAGATAAGCAGGTTCAGAAATTTTCGCATTGCTAAAACTTGTGAAACAAGTCGAATTATCAATGATTGTTGAAAGTAGACTCTAGCAAATTGATCGTTGTTTTGAATTAGCATTACATGTTTACGTGTATCAAATAACCATTATTATTATATGACTCAATTTGTAGAAAATCTTCGAAAGAATGCATCGTTCACATTGTTTAGAATTATGAATAAATGACTGATGAAACTGATTCATGTTATTGACCGTTTTAATTAATTCGAGTTTTAATTTAACTGTTACTTTTACTTTGAGTCCTATTTCATTATGTAGAGATAGTCAATACCTAAGAAATTAAAAACTGGCCTATTTAAATCAACTTTGACAATAAGGATATATGACAAGAATTGGGCAAAAAGGTGAATTTTTTGCAATTTTAGCCAAATGAAGTCGAAAAACCTACAACAAGTGTCCCAATAGTCTTCTTTAGTGAATATAAGACAACCATTAAAATATGAGCACCCATACCCCTTGGGAACCCTAAAAGCTGAGTCGGCGGGTTTATTAACGACCGGTGAAAATGTGGTTCGGGAAAAATATGGCGAAATTACCCTAAACCCGCCACTTTATCCCGGTCATAATAATCCCGAGTAAGGTAATTTGTATCATTAACATAATCATAACATATCGCCCGCGCCATCCATTGTTGTACCCAACAAAAAAAACTAAAAACAAAACAAATTTCAAAACTGATCCAATGCAAATTAAACTAATAATTGCACAGTCTTTATAAACGTATCAACAGTTCGGACGTAACCAGATATCACGTCACTTCATAAAGTAATTATAATTTAATTAATTGGAGTAATAAAAAGTAGTAAAAAACTAATCGAGTAGCTAATTTAAGAATAAAATCTTGAAGAAACTTATCAAAAAAGCAGTAAATCAACACCAAAAAAAATGTATGACTATGAATACGAGTACTCATTAGCTCAGGAGAAGTTTGCAAACATTCAACAAAAAAATGTATCGCAAATTGTAAATCTTTAAAAATTCAAATCTTCACAAAGATCCGATAACGGGGTGGCTTTATTTAGGCTAACGTGGATTGCAATTGTTTATTTATTTTCATCAGTCACCATCACCACCACCACCACCACCGCCACCACCACCACCATCATAACCACCACCATCACCAACATCACCACCACCATAACCCATTACATCTTCATAGCTTGGTACATTCTCTTCGCCAAACGCTCTAACGAATTCTTCATATTTTGGCGGAGCAACATCCGACAGAGTTTGGTCTAGGAACACTGGTAGGACTGGCTCTTCTTGCATATTATCTGGCGGCGCTGAAAACACTGGCTCCTCTCGCACATTATCTGGTGGCGCCGAAATATTCAATACTTCCTCTCGCCGCCAAATAATATGCGAGATATTATTTCGTACATTTTCTTCTTTGCGTTTAACATAATAAACATGAACATGACCGACCGCGATCAAAAATAAAATAAACCCGACTATAACTCCGACTGTAATACCAATTATAGTCGTCGCAGACATCTTCTTACTATTACTATCATCATTCTGAAAATAGAAATAATAAATTGTATTTTGAGGAGAGGAGAGGGAGAGGAGAGGGAGAGGGGAGGGAGAGGGAGAGGGAGAGGGACGAGGGAGAGGGAGAGGGAGAGGGAGAGGTGGAGAGGGAGAGGGAGAGGGAGTTGAGGGGGAGGGAGAGGGGAGAGGGTGAGGGAGAGGGAGAGGGAGTGGGTGGGGGAGTGGGAGAGGAGGATGGGTGAGGGAGAGGGAGTGGGAGAGGAGAGGGAGAGGGAGAGGGCGAGAGGGAGAGGGAGAGGGAGAGAGGGAGGGGAGAGGGAGAGGGAGAGGACGAGGGAGAGGGAGAGGGAGAGGGAGAGGGAGAGGGAGAGGGAGCGGGAGAGGAGAGGGAGAGGGAGAGGGAGAGGGAGTTGCGAGCAGGGAGAGGGGAGAGGGAGAGGAGAAGCGGAGAGGGAGAGGGAGAGCGGAGGGGAGAGGAGAGGGAGAGGGAGGAGGGAGAGGGAGAGGGAGAGGGAGGAGGAGAGAGGGAGAGGTGAGGGAGAGGGAGAGGGAGAGGGAGAGGGAGAGGGGAGAGGGAGTGGGAGAGGGAGAGGGAGAGGGGAGGGGAGAGGTGAGAGGGAGAGGAGAGGAGAGGGAGAGGAGAGGGAGAGGGAGAGGGAGAGGGAGAGGAGAGGGAGAGGGGGAGAGGGAGAGGGAAGAGGGAGAGGGAGGGGAGAGGGAGAGGGAGAGGGAGAGGAGAGGAGGGGAGAAGGAGTGGGAGAGGGAGATGGTTGAGAGGGAGTGGGTGTAGGGAGAGGGAGATGGAGAGGGAGAGGGAGAGGGAGAGGAGAGGGGGGGAGAGGGAGAGGTGAGGAGAGCGAGGAGGAGAGGAGAGGAGAGGGAGACGAGAGAGAGGGGAGAGGGAGACATCTCGATCTCTCACCTCCCTAATAATAAGATCGACTCACCAATTCCATCACACCGTAGAAACACGTCTTCATCATGACCACAATTTGGTGATAATAAATACGAACAAGAACTCCATTCACCACTGCTGCATGAAACTTCGTCCAGGGTAATACCATAATTTGACTGGATGTCCATTTCTACGATGTCCAACATATTTTATCCTTTGTATCCCATTTTTACGACTAATAGGCGTCGCTGAGTAATCACTGAAAGAATTGTCACAAACTGTTCCTCCATTGACAATCAGCAACCCAAGAATATCCAGCGCCAAACAATATAACCATTTGTATCTTACTAAATAATTCTGCGAATTCTTTTAATTAATAATTTTAACTTCTAGAATCTAATATTTAATGAATTTATTGATTTTTTGTTCTCCTCTCCCCTAATATTATGATCGACTCTCACCAAATCCTCCCATCACTGTAGGAAACACGTTTCTTCATGAACACAATTTGGTGATAATGAATACGAACATAGACTCCAACCCATCACTGTCGCATGAAACTTCGCCAGGCGTGATATTTAATTTGATGGGATGTCCCACTCCTACCGGGGAGTCCAACTTATTTGAACATTGTATCCATTTTACGACAATAGCGTCAGCTGAGTACTCACTGATAAAGAATGTCACAATGTTCCTCCATTTACGATCAGCAACCCAAGAACTCCCGCGTCGGACAATATGACATTCGTATCTACTAAAACAAAACTCTGCGAAATTCATTTTCATTTAATAATAATCAACTTAGAATCTAAATATTTAATGAATTTATTGATTTTGGTTCTCCCTCTCCCTAATAATAAGATCGACTCACCAAATTCTCCACACTGTAGAAACACGTCTTCATAATGACCACAATTTGGTGATAATGAATATGAACATGAACTCCATTCCCACTGCTAAGTGAATGAAAATAGTCTCGTCCAGGGTAATGCCATAATTTGACTGCAATTGTCCCATTTTACTACCGGATGTCAACTTTTAGACAATTGTATCCCATTTTTACGAACAAAATAAGCGTCAGCTGAGTAATAAACTGATAGAAATCGTCCAAACTGTTCCTCCATATTTGCGATCAGCAACCCCAAGATTTCCAGCACCAACAATTATGACATTCGTAAATCTACTAAACTAAACTCTGCGAATTCATTTAATTAATAATTGTAACTCTAAATGTTTAGTAATTCTAATCTACACCCAGTGCACACTTATTGCAGGGAGAGGGCGTAGGGAGGGAGGGAGATGTAATGAGGGAGAGGGATCGGGCAGAGGGACGAGGGCGTAGGGATATGGTAGGGATATTGATCGTGATAGTGAGAGGGAGAGGGAGGAGGGAGAGGAGAGGGTGAGGATAGGGGAGAGGAGAGGGAGAGGGAGAGGGACGAGGGAGCGGGAGAGGTAGAGGGAGAGGAGAGGGAGAGGGAGAGGGAGAGGGAGAGGGAGGGGGAGGGAAGGGGAGGAAGCAGAGAGGGAGGAGGGAGGAGGGAGAGTTGAGAGAAGTAGAGGGGAGAGGGAGAGGGAGGAGGAAGAGGGGAGGGGAGAGGAGAGGAAGCGGAGGGATGAGGGTGGAGAGAAAGAGAGGGAGTGGGAAAGGAGTGAGAGGGAGAGAGGGGAGGGGATTTGTTGGAGGAGGGGGTGAGGGTGAGGGAAGAGTAGGAGAGGGGAGAGAGGGGAGTGGGAGAGAGAGATGGAGGAGTGAGAGGAGGAGAGAGGGGAAGAGGGAGAGGGAGAGAGAGGGAAGAGGGAGAGGGAGGAGAGGGTGAGGGAGAAGAGGGAGAGGGGAGAGGTGAGACGGCGAGGGGTTGGGGAGAGGGAAGAGGGAGGAGGGTGAGGGAAGAGGGGAGAGGGAGAGGTGAGAGTGGGAGAGGGAGAGGGAGAGGGAGAGATCGGGAGGAGAGGGTGAGGGAGAGGGTGAGGGAGAGGAGAGGGAGAGGGGAGGTGAGAGGAGAGGGAGAGTGAGAGGGAGAGGGAGAGGGTGAGGAGAGGGAGAGGAGAGGGAGAGGGAGAGGGAGAGGAGAGGGAGACGGGAGAGGGAGGAGGGAGTGGGAGAGGAGAGGGATAGAGGGAGAGGGTAGGGAGAGGGTGAGGGAGAGGTGGAGGGAGTGGGGAGAGAGAGGGAGCGGGAGAGGCGAGAGGGAGAGGGAGGGAGAGAGGGAGAGGGAGGAGGGAGAGGGAGAGGGAGAGGGAGGAGAGAGGGAGAGGGAGTGGGAGAGAGGAGGAGAGGGAGAGGAGATGGGACGAGGGAGGAGGGAGAGGGAGGAGTGAGAGGGAGGAGGGGAGAGGGGAGAGGGAGGAGGGAGAGGGAGAGGGAGAGGGATGAGGGAGAGGGGGAGAGGGGAAGAGGGAGAGGGAGAGAGAGGGATGGAGGAGGGGAGAGGGAGAGGGTGAGGGTGGAGTGAGAGGGAGAGGGACGAGGGAGAGGGAGAGGGAGAGGGAGGGGATAGGGAGAGGAGAGGTGAGGAGAGGTGTGGGAAGAGGGAGAGGAGGAGGAGAGAGGCGAGAGGTGAGAGGGAGGTGGAGAGGGGAGAGGGAGAGGGAGAGGGAGAGGGAAAGAGGGAGGGGAGAGGGAGAGGTAGAGGGAGAGGGAGAGGGAGAGGGAGAGGGTAGAGGAGAGGAGAGGGAGAGGGAGAGGGACGAGGGAGGAGAGGGAGAGGGAGAGGGAGAGAGAGAGGGGAGAGGGAGAGGGGAGAGGGAGAGGGAGTGGGTGAGGGAGAGGAGGGGGAGAGGGAGGAGGGTAAGAGAGGGAGAGGGAGAGGGGAGAGGGAGATTAGTGAGAGGGACGTGGGAGTGGGAGGGGGCGGAGGAGGGAGAGGGAGAGGGAGAGGGAGAGGGAGAGGGAGAGGGAGAGTGAGAGGGAGAGCGGAGAGGGGGTAGAGGAGAGGGTGAGGGAGAGGGAAGAGGGGAGAGGGAGAGGAGAGGGTGAGGGGAGAGGGAGAGGGAGGGAGGGAGATGAGGAGGGACTGGATGATGAGTGGAGAGGGAGAAGGAGTTAACAAGGTTGGACGGTGGTGATGGAGAGGGAGGGTGAGTGTGGTGTGAGGTTGAGGGAGAGGATCGGGAGCAGGAGGGAGAGGAGTGGGTGTGAGGGGAGATGGGGGGTGGTACGAGAGGGAGTAGGGGAAGGGGTGAGGGAGGTGAGGGTATGTGGGAGGTTTGAGGAGGATGAGGACTGAGTTCGAGGGAGAGATGAGTAGAAGGTGGGGGAGGGAGAGGGAGGAGAGGGAGAGGGTAGTGGGGAAGAGAAGAGGGTAGAGAATTGTGGTGGGAGATGAGGTAGAGGTGGGTGGAGTGTTGAGGAGTGAGAGGGCGGTGTGCAGTGGGGGTGTATGTGTGGGGGTTCGCGAGTTAAGCGTGTAAGTGTGGGATTTCGGAGTCGTGGTGGGTGTGCGGTGAAGGGGCTGGTCGAGTGGCGAGTGTCGTGGGGGGGGAGGGGGGAGTGGTGAGAGGTGTAGGGGGGAGTGGGGCGAGGGGGGGAGGAGGATGGGTGACGAGGGGTGAGGGGTGTGGTGTGAGAGGGAGAGTTGTGAGTGGGGAGGGGGGAGAGGGTGAGGTGAGAGGGAGTGAGGGAGAGGGTGAGGGTGATGAGGGAGAGTGAGTGAGGGGGGGGGGGAGGGGAGTGAGGAGTGGGGAGGGTGGTAGGAGCGAGTGGAGGGGGGGAGGAGGGCGAGAGGGGGTAGATGGTACGAGTAGGTGAGAGGAGGGGGGACGAGGTGAGAGGAGAGGTGAGAGGGAGAGAGAGGGAGGACATCTCGTGCTTCTCCCTAAGGATTAAGATCGACTCACCAATTCCTTCACACTCTAGAAAAATAAACACACCGTCTTTCATATGACCACAATTTGGTGTTGATAATGAATATGAACATGAACTTCCATTCCACCACTGCGGCATGAACGTGGTCCAGGATAATACCATAATTTGACTGGATGTACCACTTCCAACCGGATGTTCCAACCCAATTTTACCATTGTATCCATTATACGAACAAATTGCGTCTGCTGAGTAAAGGACAGAAATAATCGTCACATACTGTTCCTCCATTGACTATCAGCAACCCGTACGCAGTAATTCCAGCGCCAACAATTTGACCATTCGTATCTACTAAACTAAACTCTGCGAATTTAATTAATTAATAATTTTACCTCTAGATGTTTAGTAATTCGTTTATGGATAATGTTTCTCCCTCTCCCTTTTTCTCTCTGCCTCTGCCTCAGCCTCTGCCTCTGCTCTGCCTTGCTCATCCTCTGCCTTGCCTTGCCTCTGCCTCTGGGCCTCTGCCTCGGCCTCTGCCTCTGCCTCTCCTCTGCCTCTGCTCTCCTCTGCCTCTGCCTCTGCTCTGCCTCTTGCCTCTGCCTCTGCCTCTGCTCTGCCTCGCCTCTGCCTCTGCCTCTGCCTCTGCCTCTGCCTCTGCCTCTGCTATGCCTCTTGCCTCTGCCTATGCCTCTGCCTCTGCCTCTGCTCTGCCTCTGCCTCGGCCTCATGCCTCTGCATCTTGCCTCTGCCTATGGCCTCTGCCTCTGCCCTTCTGCCTCTGCTCTGCCTCTGGCTCTGCCTCTGCCTCTGCCTTGCCTATGCCTCTGACTCTTCCTTCTGCCCTCTGCCCCCCCTCTGCCTCTGCCTCTGCCTCTGCTCTGCCTCTGCCTCTGCCTCTGCCTTGCCTCTGCCTCTGCCTCTGCCTCTGCCTCTGCCTCTAGCCTCTTGCCTCTGCCTCTGGCCTCTGCCTCTGCCTCTGCCCTCTGCCTCTGCCTCTGCCTCTGCCTCTGCCTCTGTTCGCCTCTGCTCTGCCTTGCCTTGCCTCTGCTCTGCCTCGCCTCTGCCTATGCCTCTGCCTCTGCCTCTGCTCTGGGCTCTGGCTCTTGCCTTGCCTCTGGCCTCTGCATCTGCATCGCTCTGCCTCTGCCTCTGCCTTGCCTCGCCTCTGCCTCTGCGTCTGCCTCTGCCTATGCCTCTGCCTTCTGCCTCTGCCTCTGCTCTTGCTCGGCTCTGCCTCTGCCTCTGCCTTCTGCCTCTGCCTCTGCCTCTGCCTCTGCCTCTGCCTCTGCCTCTGCCTCCGCCTCCGCCTCCGCCTCCGCCTCCGCCTCCGCCTCCGCCTCCGCCTCCGCCTCCGCCTCCGCCTCCGCCTCCGCCTCGTCCGCCTCCGCCTCCGCCTCTGCCTCTGCATCTGCCTCTGCCTCTGCCTCGTGCCTCTGCTCTGCCTCTGACTCTGCCTTTGCCTCTGCCTCTGCCTCTAGCCTCTGCCTCTGCCTCTGCCTCTGCCTCTGGCCTCTGCCTTCTGACTCTGCCTCTGCCTCTGCCCTCGACCTTGCCTTGCTCTGCCCTGCCTCTGCCTCTGCTCTGCCTTGCCTCTGCCTCTGCTCTGCTCTGCCTATGCTTCTTGCCTTGCCTCTGCCTTCTGCCTCTGCCTCTGCCTCTGCTCTGACTCTGCTCATGCCTCTGCCTCTGCCTCTGCCTTGCCTCTCTGCCTCGCCTCTGCCTTGCCTCTGCCTCTGCTCTGCCCCTCTGCCTCTGCCTCGACTCTTTCTCTGCCTCTGCCTCTGCCTCTGCTCTGCCTCTGCCTGCCTCTGCCTCTTGCCTCTCCTCTGCCTCTTACTCTGCCTCTGCCTCATGGCCTCTGCTCTGCCTCTGCCTCTGCCTCTGCTCTGCCTCTGCCAATGCCTCTGCCTCTGCCTCTGCCCTCTGCCTCTGCCTTCTGGCCTCTGCCTCTGCCTCTGCCTCTGCCTCTGCCTTGCCTCGCCTCTAGCCTCTGCCTCCTGCCTCTGCCTCTGCCTCTCCTCTCCCTCTCCCTCTCCCTCTCCCTCCTCCTTCCCCTCTCCATCTCCCTCTCCTCTCCACTCCCTCTCCCTCTCCCTCTCCTCTCCATATCCACTCTCCTTTTATTACCAAAAGTTAATGTTGGTTGAAGGGGGGTGTGTCAAGGGAAGTTGTGTCGAAGCATTCTCTTTCAGCTGTGGCCCAACCACTCTCCATTGAACAGAGTGTAGTCCCCGATAGCATAACATGCTCTCGTAGCCCAAGAGTCTGGACTAGTTACCGCTGCCATACAGCTGCAATAATATCATTAATTATTGAAAAATTATTGAAAAAATTATTGAAAAATTGCTATTTTCTTTGGATTGTGAGATTCAAACAGCAATTAGTGTAAAAGATAGCATTCGTTAAAATGTGAATTGATCGAAACATACCCCGCCGTTTGTATACAAAATTTCATGCAGTGTTCTTCCGAGGAGTAAGTACTTTCACTTAATACAGCCCCCGATGTTCGTATGTCCGCTGTGAAGCAGCATCGGTGTATGCTCCCTGCAAAATTTACTTATCAGAAAGAACTTACTGTAATTTTTGAGTACTTGGTAAATCACATACGCCAAGTTCTAATCTAAAATTTGTTTGATAAAGCCGTTCTTACCGTTATCCTTTTGATAGTAACCAAAAAGACCGACACCATTAGCGGAATTAATCGAATTTATTTGTTAACCAATATCATACTGGAGTGGATTGATTTATCCATCCCTCCCCATCAGTAACAATCCTCTGAGGTGGTAGCTTCGGAGTGGTGAGCTGATCCAGATAATTGGATTCGTGCTCGTTCTTCGACTCTGGCTAAGGATTTTAGTTTTGGGAAAAGGACGTTCAGCTCCGGAGTAGACAACTGACAATGATAGGATTTTCGTTAGGATATTCTGTGTAGAGGACAGCTGTTGATCCGCCGCCTTCCTCTTCGAAGAGAGTTGACAAGCTCCTACTTAAACCAAGGCATCAGGGGAATAGTTGTGCTCCTCAGGTCCAGTGGAGAGTGATCTTTGGGTGCAACAACGTCATGTCAGATTGTTTTGACGATCTGCATGACGAATCAGAACACGTCACTGATTGAGAGCTTATTAATGGCCTGTTAAGGTGTGGGAAATGGTTAGAACTGTTGGTAGGCATGTGTATGTAGGTTAATCAAATTTCACTTGTGTAAATGAATCATCAATTTTCATTACTCACATGAGTCATATCCAAATTTTATAAATTTTGTACGCTGATTATGATTGAAAACTTAAGTTGATTTTTAAAATTCCTTTTCTTTAAAATTTGGGTTGTTTAAACCTACCCCCAATATTCTAGGAGTAAATCAGATAAACGACCACTCCTTATATGGAGTTCTTAGATCACTTTGAGGCCTGTATCACGTGATAAACTTGCAATATCCCACGTGATATCTTAATCAATGTTGAAGATTATCTTTTGCACTTGTGAACTATCTGGCCATTTAAGCCTTTAGAACATTATGAGTGTTGTAGAACTAAGTATAACTAAAGCATTCCCCTTTCGGTGGTGGCTGGACACCGTCTAGAAGTTATTAGGGACTTAGGGATGGGTCCTTTCAACCCACCCCAGCTGGTCCATAGTGTAAATATTTATAGTTTTAAACTAATTACAACACTACAAATCTATTACATTTATTGAGGATGTTACTGAAGATAGTAATGAAAATGTTTTAACACCTCAAAACTGTGTATTACTACAGCTCAACCTGCTCAGTCTGACTAATTGGGAATTTAAACTCTTAATATTTATAATCATATAGTACTAGCCTATGAACTGTAAATTCGAAAATGTTGTCAGGGGCCATGTAAACTTTGTCACGTTTTTATATAGTGTGACAAAGTTTACAACTCACTGGCGGCCGAATTTAATCGATATATCTGATCATCTAATAAAGATATCATTATGTGAAAAACTTTGCCTAGAGGATGAGAATATTATCCTAACAATTGAGCCATTGAGGGTTTATATAGGTTAACATAGTGTGACAAATTTTAATTCATCGTGCCATTTAATAAGGCCACTAATATTTACCAAGATGTGAATTTTTAAAGATTTGGGTCGATAAAGTACGTTAATTATTTTACGAAAGATGATTGTCATGATTGCCCACCTTCAGAAATATTTGGGCAAAGAAGAAGTACCACCAATCCTATCATCTTGTTATGTAATGTTGTTGTTAACGCAGTTCCATAGACATATAGCTAGATACAAAATTAATTAGGAAACAAAAGAACCTAAAACAGGATGAAAATGACAATATAAAATGAAATGCTCAATATAAACTTTCTCCACAATGTTGAATTTCTCTCTGATTATGTTTGCGTAATGCGTATGTATCAAGTGACTCGTGAGCTACGTGATTTCTGAGCCACGTGATTCCTGAGCCACGTGTAGGACTCAGTAGGGCCTGTCGTGATATAATGAATCGCTTAGGTTCCACCTGGATCTGGTAGTCGTCGTAATTCTGCGGCCTCTATGTATCGTCATCTCGCACAACTCCTTAAGAATCTTAAAAGCTGGGCATGTAACAATTTTCCCATTTATCAGTCATATAGAGATTAGGAGTTATTAAGTATTTTGTGCTACCTTATACATTAATTTTGTATCTATAATAATACTATAATATACAGGGTGGGCCAAAAGTCAGTGTGCAAACGTTGGCCTTAATAGCTCAGTCACTGAGTGCCCAATTGAAATACTTCCTTCTGGTATGACTTAGTACCACCACTGGTTCGAGGAATTTGTCAACTCGAAAAATATTCGCGTTCATTTTTTTCAAATGGAGGTTCATTTTCACATTTTTTTGATAGTTTGGATATTCGGATCAAGCTAAATGTTATTGAATTGTGTTTGGCCATTCGAATTACGTTTGCCCTGAAAGAATGAGAGTTCTAGTTTCTCAGATGACCGAGATATGAAGCATAACAAGCTTGTTCATTACGTGTGATCAGGTGATTGGTTTACCTAATCACGTGATAAGGTGACCCCGTTAACTACCCCGTTAAACATTATGGGAATTGTTAAGGGTGCCCAATTAAGGTGTCGTCGTGTCACGGTGTCACATAATCACCCAGTCAATTTGTTAACGAGATACCCAAAATGCTTGTTAACTTCGTCATTTCTAATCCGTTTTGCCTCATTTTTTCAGATCATATGCAACATAGGATGGCCTGTTCGAGTGATTTCGGCAGATGCTCTGGCGGCAACGTACAGAGTAGATTATCTACATCAGAACGCAAAAGAAGAAGCACAGCACTAATCTTCACTCTAGCTACTTTTAATGTCCTGGGTATTACTTCTCCAGTTAAACGGGATGAACTTTTGAGAGATTGCTATTATCGTAAAATAGACATTCTCGCTGTGCAAGAAACAAAATGTCGTCACTTTGAGGATTCAGTTTTGCATTTTACAGATGATGATGGGAAATCACACAAATATCGCTTCATAAACTTTCAGCAATTTGACAATAAGTGGCAAGCAGGTATTGGTTTTCTTGTAAATTCAGTCTATACCAACTACATCAAGTGTTACAACAGTATCAGTGACAGGGTTGCTTATCTAGATCTTGAGATACCAAGTAAATCAGGTAAACCAAGACTTTGCCGTGTTATCAATGCCTATGGACACACTCAAGTAAATTGTGATAAGTATCCGCAGAGACGTGATTATTTCTACAAGTTTCTTGGCAAAGCTGTTGATATCCCATCAAGTTGGGACTTATATATTCTTGGAGATTTCAACTCTCGACTCGGTAAATTGTCTCATTCAGATATTGTTTTCGGGTATAATGACTTTATGGGTATGTATGGGTCTGGAAAGAGGAATTCAAATGGAGAGCATCTTCTTAATTTTCTTGTTGATAAAAAACTTTTTGCTTGCAACACTAGCTTCCAGCACCCTGTCCGTCATATAACAACAAGAATTGGTTTTATGAAAGACTACTCAGCTCCTAAAAACTCACATCGCACTTTGCCCTACTACTCTCAAATTGACTATGTCCTATGTAGCAGTCGATTGAAGAAACTTTTAGTGAATTCTCGAAGTTATGGGGGTACTCTTGTTAAATCTGATCACAAAATTGTTATTACACGTTTCAACTTCAGTGACGCTCACCTTGTCTTCCCCAAACAGAAACCTAAAATGCATTTTGATATCACAACCCTTGTCAGTAATCCTGCTGCTAAAATGCATTACAACAACACATTGAATGATATTCTCACAGACAGCCCTGTTAATCCTAACCCTGAGGAAGAAATGAATAGTTTGTTTCACAATGTACATAAAGCTGCTGAGGTTAGTATTGGATACCTTCCTAGGAAACGCCCTAAAAACTTTTGTAATGACCTTGAAATTCGAGAGATGTCTGATGAAAAGAAAGTTCTACAAGCTCTACTCAATCAGAACAACACCTCTGAAGATAGATCAGTTATACGTACCAAAATCAATCGTATTCAAAATGACACTCGTAAGAGAATCAAGCTCCTTCAAGAAGAGCATGCAGACACTCTTGCTGAAGAGATAAACGAAACTGATAGTTCTAGAGCATACTTTGCAGCCACTCGCCAACTAGCAGGTATCAAACGTGCTCCAACCATAAGTGTGCATGATGAAAACTCTAACTTCATAGGTACAGACACTGGAAAAGCTGCTACACTAAAGAACCACTTTGAAGAGAAGTTCACTGCAAAACATACAGTTGAGCCTATTGACACTTTCTTTGATCAACCTAGTCCTCTCGCTGACCCTATTACTGCTATTGAAGTTGAGATAGCTGCTAAAGCTTTGAAGAATGGTAGAGCCACTGGGCCTGATGATATCCCAAGTGAATTGATTAAGTATGCAAACAGAAGTGTATTTCAGAAATATGCAGACTGTATAAATACCGCATTTGAAACAAACACCACCATAACATCTATTGGAAAAGGCAACATTACTCCACTCCAAAAGCCTAAGAAACCACTTGGTCCAGCAGCAAACATCAGACCTCTCACCCTCTCAAACTGCTCCAGAAAATTACTGTCAATGATTACCCTAAAACGTATCCAAGGCAAGCTAGATCAGTACACCGGTCCTACACAAAGTGCTTACAAGAGAGGTAGAAGTTGTGGCGATATAATTTGGTCTCAACGTATGCTAACCTCAGTGGTACTTAGAAAGCATTGGAGCTACCACAGAATGAGTATAGACATGTCAAGTGCCTTTGACACCATCAGCAGAGAAACAGTACTCAATGTTCTTGAAGATGCTGGCTGTACTAGTGATGAAATTAGGATGGTACGGCTCCTACTATCAAACACAGTGTTGAAAGTAAAAGTCAATAATACTGTATCAATTGAGTTCCAAAGCACAACTGGAGCATTTCAAGGAGATGCACTATCAGGTAATCTATTTACTGTTGTTGAAGCCGCTGCACTTATTCACCTCAGATCTGTACTCTCCCAAGTATCATCAACACCTTACCCAGTGAATCATCCAATCCCTAATCCTCCTATCTCAGAAGAATTCATGCCACTCGAAACAGGATACTCTGATGATATTGACTTTAATAACACTGAACTTGCTCCACTCAAAGAAATGCTTCCTATCGCTAAAGATATATTCCAGCAGTGGGACCTTCATATCAATTCTTCCAAGACTGAATTTGTCCATTTTTATTTAGCAGATCCTAAACCCACTGTTAAACGCAAGGTGATTGTTGGAAAAGTGTATAGAGGTGATGAAGAGTGGCGCTCTAACAAAACTTTAGGATCGTTGATGTGCACTGTTAAGGATATCAAGAATCGAATATTCCTTGGTAATGTTGCCTTTAGTAAATTTCAGAAAGTTTGGATGAAGAGCAAGATTTCAGTCCAAAGGAAGATCAAAATCTACAAGGCACAAGTAGTCTCTATTCTACTCTACAACTGCAACTCCTGGGCTGCACCACTAGCTTCGTTGAATGAACTTGATATTGCTCATCGCAAACACCTCCGAAGAATCCTCAACATCAGATGGCCTACTGGGGTTATTTCTAATGAGGCACTCTATGCTCGTTGTTATGTCACTCCCTTGTCTGTGAGAGTCTCTAAGTTTCGATGGAGAATGTTAGGACATATCTTAAGAGGACAGGAAGACTCACCAGCATACACCTCTATGTTATTTGCTATAAATTCTGATATTTTTATGGAAGGGAGACGGGGTAGACCATGTTTAAACTTATTAGATGTTATTAGAAAAGACTTGACTAGTAGAAATCTTGATATTAGACTTAAGAATTTGACTGATTTCGAAGACCTTAGATTTTTAGCTTTAGATAGGGAGGAGTGGAAGAAGTTAGAAGATGGTTGATGTTTTTTGTTTTCTTTTTTATGCGTTTTGATATCTATAAGGTGCCTAGGATGCTCTTTTAAAGAGATATTTCGTACTTTGAAAGATTTACTACTACTATATGCAACATTTGATAATCTACTGTCTCTAAAACAAGAATTGCGCCCGTTTGTTCGGCTGTCGGCGGACGCTAGATTTCCATCCACTTGCACCAACTCTTCAAATTTTATCATGCCTTCGCCTTCAATTAATTGTTCGTTTCTTGTGTCACGTGAATTGGCTTAATTGACTAGCTGAATTGTGAATAGTTACATTAAACCAAAATAAAAGTTGATCGTTGTACCTCAGCTCAGAAGGTCAGCCAATGCAATTAGAGTGGGCCGGACCAGCTTAATGTAATTGTTGATTAGCTCAAGTTTGGAGGTGCCGCGAGTTTAGTTATCTGTGGATGTTAAAGGAATGAAATACTTGTGCATCGAAGAAAATAAATGTTGTTCAGACACAGCGCGCGCGTTAAGGTAATTTAATTAATTTTACTGATAAGCCGCGCGACTTTACTCTGAAATATCGCGTGTAGATTTAATATGAATGTTCCTCCGCAAACGTTAAGATTGAAGTTGCCATAACAACGCGCAACTCTATGGCAGAGAAAAATGATACACGATATAAATCTAGGTGAAATAGAAATGGATAAATAAGGAAGAGAACATATTATTATCATGTTGTGCTTAAAACTGGTCCCTCTGTTCCATTTTCTAATTAGTGGTTATAAAGATTAAATGATGTGTTCTAGTCATACTTCAATGATCATGATACCAATTATTGGAATTCAAGTCTCAATGTCCAGTATGTTAATTAGTTCAATAAGATGAAGTGTTCATTCCATTGTCT